CTCAATAACATACCCAATACGGCATATGCATGGGTTGGAACTAGGCCAACAGTATTAGCTCTTTCTTCATCCATCTCTCCGGTAGAAATAATAACAAGGACGTTCCCTAATAGAGTTAGACTACGTTAGTCATAATAAATACAATAAAGTTCAAGTGTCACTTAAGAACGTTCTCTCTAATTACCATCCTTCTGGCCGCGAAATAACCGTTTCCAGGTTGACTCTTTGTCAAAAGCCCTAATGCAAAGCAAATACATCAACATGCGATTCTCTCCCATCTGATGAATATTTCTTTTTTGAACTCACTCAGTGATAAAAATATGTTCAGGGAGCCATTCTGTAAGAGCACTGAAACAGCAATACGTATTAAAACAAGCCAACATCGTTTATTAGAGCACGCCATTGTGGTGTAAAGTAACTTACTATAAGTCTATCCCAGAATTACTAGTGAATATAGTAAAAGATAGCGGTTATATAGGGTAGTAACGTCTTGTTCAATCGAAAAAAATCTCATTATATACTATACTTACGATCCAGGAAAATCATAACCGCCCATTAACTTCAAATACTATACGGCATTTAACTCCAATGTTAATAACAAGACTTGATATCGAAGTAATTCAATTTAGCAATTAACATACGGCTTTCTCCACGATGCTAGGCCAAAGCTCGTCTTTATTCGTCGAGAAAGTGCACATAAGTGTACCATCACGCGAAACAGGCAACAAATCATCAACGACTTGGTAGCAGAAAAAAGTTAGAAGAGGTATTAACAGTCCTTGTGCAAGTTAATCAAACTAGTACCGAAGAATAGTTACCAACCTAAAACACAGGTTCATGTAGTAAATAAAAAATTATACTATAAACGTCCATGTAATATAAGAAAATGCTGTCACTCACTTTTCTCGATCTGCCATTGCATAAAAGCTTGATCATGTATTTCCCACATGGATTGTACATTGGCTTTCCGTGTTCATCTTGCGGATAGATACACTTTGTGATTAACTAATATTCAAGTAGAATAATACAAAGTTCTTTGTTAAGTCTCGGTCAACAAATCCGTTAATAAGGCAATATATCTACCTGTTTGTTATGCCTTCGCTCATACGCAGCACTCACACATAATGACGCAACAAAAGAGCAATCCGTCACAATATCCTTTTGGTTAAATTAAAAGTTATATCAAGTCTTGTTTTCAAAATAAAATAAAACAGAAGTCGGTCGTCGCATATGCATAGCTAACTACAAACCCAGTACCTGCACTATGTTGGAACTCGAAATCTCTGCAATCATCACTGGATTTTTCATAACCTGATAAGGTCGTTTCCAAGAACCAAAGAGCTCCTTTTGTTGCAATGATAGCTGCAGAGGACCATCCAAATCTCTTATATGAAAAAAAAAAAAACATTTAATAGATGCACGAGCAGAATAGTCTTACTAATACTCGCTAATACATACGTAAAGAGCTTATCAAATAAAAACGGCTCGTTCAAGTCATCATCATCATACCATGGGAGAAAGATCTTTTCATTAATACGAGAAGTGTCAAGTAAGATTTTGCGCTCTGTATCCGTGAGCGGAGACAACTTGGAACTGGGGGTTAAGCCATTTCCTGATGATAGTACGAGCATTGATTAGATTGTACTCATACTCGACTAAAAAAGCGAAACTGGGAATATACTCGTACTTGGTCTCGGCGGAAATCGCAATTTTTTCAGGGGCTCGGCCTTGTCAAGAGTCTGCTTGATCTGAATCCTTAGTTCCGCTTTCAGGCTGTCATTAGCATCTGTGTACAAATATACATACATCAATCTCTGTATAGAAAAGAAGAAACATACATATAGAGTCCTATCTGAAGAAAGGCCAACGTTTTTGTGCTTGAAGTAACGGTTCGACAGCTTCCAAGTAAGAATTAAGTGCCTGCACAAATTTAAACTGTTCTTCCTCGCTTTTGGCCTTTTTTAGAATCGCCTGTCCAAAAAAAAACATGTAAGTGTAGTGAGCAAGATAGCATTCAATCATACGATGTAGACATTAGAAGAAAAAACAAAGTATTAAACCTGAGCTTTTGAAAAGAGAATTGAACTGTCTAATTGTTCTATTCGTCTAACATACTCTTCACGCTTGTTTATTATTATGTTCCTCTCCGAAGGCTGCGATCCCACTTATTTGGCATGAAATGAGAGTACAATCGACATAAATCAATGGACTGGTAAGAACAATCGCTAACATTTTAAATTACATACTCCTCTCTATAATTAGCCCGAGTAGCTGAAAAGCAAGTTGTTGTAGATCAGAAATTTAGACGTAATCTGCGTGCGATGCCTGCAAGACCAATCAATGGACTAATGCTCATCAAAAATCTTGCTTACTCTCACTACTTCCTGATAATGTCTTTTTGCGACTTCAAAATTCCCGCTGTTATCTTGTTCAATTGCTCTCCCGGCTAAATTCAATGCCTCTCGGCGCAACGTCTCCATCATCGCGGAATTTGTTCTTCGAGCAGCCATTGTATTTCAAACACTTATCATCTAATAAGAATTTCAGGATATTTACGGGACATGTTGCAAATAACTAGTAGACAAGAGGGAGCGAGTAGTGTTACACGGACGGAAGATGCATCTTATTGCGAACAAATCGGGTTAGATCCCTGGTTTCCGCCGTTTCGCACTAATGCTAACACCGCTTTGTTTCATGGAAAACTCGTCTCAGATCTCAAAAATTTACCGATTAACAACCATTTGTATGCTAGCAGTAGAATAGGGTTATTATGGATTGCGTTTCCGCCAGTCTTCCCTAAATTTAGAATTTTAGTAACCAATTCGCTCGTACCTATACACAATTCCCAATTAGAATAGTTTATAGATTTTCTACTTCTGTAAGACTAATATTTATTCACATTACATATACTTTTTGTTGTTTACAGCTGACGCATGGCACGAAAATTAAGTTTAGCAGCCATGCAGGAAAGTGCAAAGCAATACTTAATTGAGTTATATATACCTGAAAAATATTAAAACTCGCAGATTATGCCATAACACGTAATTTATAATAATGGTAATTGTAAGAATAGTTGCAAAACTCCATTAACCTTAGCTATTATATGATAATGAGTGTGTATTCAATCAAATTATCCACGCATTTATTGCACGTGGCATCTTGAATACGAATATACCGACAAGTCAAGTTTATTGATATTGTACGAGAATTGAAGTGTTTGGTGGCGAAAGAAACTCTATTGCTGATTATGGACTCCTCAATGGGGATCATCCGCATGCATCGATAAACTCTGTATTCCGCTTTCGGTTGACAAACCGGTTGGTGTAAATGAAAATTCATGTTGAT